GAATGTTAAATAAATGAGAGAAAAAATTCCAAACTTTTTGGGCTATAACCCTTCTTGCAAACAAGTGATGAAAGGATTAAGATTTATGGCTACCATGACAACATTTTGAAATCAAGTTTATCCCATGCTACATGGCTAAATCATCAGTCAGAAGAGCACCATTGATAAAACACCACACAAACATAGTGATTCTAGTAGGCATGCCTTTTCTCCAAACAAAACTTTACCAATCAATTACAAGATCATGACTTCTAATTATCCCCTCTGCTGAACTAAGAGAGAAGTGACCATTCATGTTAACCGACCATCCACATATTCAATAAAGCATTTAGCTTCCTTCATTCAATTCATGATATAAGATGGAATATTCTAATTTGTATCAAAGCTCCATGACCCATCATAATTGAGAACCTATTTGAGAGAAAAATCATCAACTTTTGCCACCTCCATATTATTTATTTAGGGATGCAAATCCAATCACTTATACCAAAATGACATCTTGTTTCTTCCCACAATCCATTGGAAATGAGATAATGCAATTTGCTTAAGGCTTATCATCTCTTTTCAGACCCTAATAAAAGTTCTTGACAAAGAAAGGAGTGGGAGAAGAGTATCATTTGCGTACTTTGAGTGATTGAAGTGGGCCCAAATATTGTTATTTGACATTAATCTATAACAAGCTTTAATTTGTAAGGCCATTATTATGTTAAGAATTGCTCTTAACCCAAGGTCACCTTCATTGGTTGGTTTAAACACTTTACACCAACTTGTCCCTTGCATCCTGGAACCAAAATCTGAAGCACCCCAAAGAAAGCAAGCAAACAACTGATTTATCCATTTAATAACAACTTTAGTGGGAGAGCAAGCACTGAGATGCATGGGTAAACTTTGTAAAACATGGCAAAGTAAGATTAACCTTCCACCAACTGAAAGAGACTTGGCTTTCCATCCTTCAAATTTTCTTTTAATTTTCCCACAAGCTCATCAAACTCTCTAGATCTTAGGTTCTTTTTAACTTGTTTAATCATACTAATGGAAGATTCTCTTATGCTAGGATGCACAATCAAGCATGATTTCTCCTTGTTCACCAATTATCTCGAGGCTCTTTAATAAACATCGATGAATTGCATTAAATTCTATATCCCCTTTTATTGTAACTTCAGAAAATATTAATGTCACCACAAAAAGACTAATGTCAAGATCGGAGCCAGCTAGTAGAAAAAGAAGGGACAAGCAAGAGGCCTTCAGTCCACGCTATAGGGAAAAGGCCCCAAAAGATGTGAGCAATGAGCCAAACACCAATAGGGGTGAGTAGGAAAAACCAAAAAACCAACTGAAACCAAACCAGAAATCAAGTTAACCAAATCAGTTGGTTCGGTACTTTTAAAATATCAAAGGTACTAGTTCAATTTCGGTTAACCAATATAGAAAATCAATAGCTAATTGAACCGGCCGGTATACATACATTTCTATATATTTTACCTATATTTTTGTATATTATATTTATTTTTTATATATTTTATATTTTCTATATATTATAAATTAATAAATATGTATTATATATAATATATAATATATTATTTATAATTTAAAATATAATATTATATATATATATTTCCAGATTTTATTATATATTTGTATATTTTTTATAATATATATTATAAATATAAAAAACCAAAAAATCGATGAACCAAACTAATGGTTAACCGAATGGCTTTAATTTGGTTTCAGTTACTGATTTTCCAAAAATCGATAATACCAGTTCGGTTTCAAAAATAGGCCCACAATTCAGTTAATCGAACCATGAGCACCCCTAGATCACTATAATTATTGCTAAGAATCTCCAAAATCTAGAGAAAAACACTTCCAACTTTTGCCAGTATTGATTTAAGGTGATGTTATCGGGTCTTAGGTACTAATATCCCTAAGACCCTCACCTCTTGCCTCTTTCTCTCAATTTAGAAAAAGCTAACAACATATGTTCTCTAAGGTCTTAAAACTTCTAATAGCCTAGAAGTTACAAATTCAAGCTAAAAGATAGAGTGAAAGGCTTACTTTTTGTGTATAACATTGCTATTGAGATTCTAGCAATTGAACTGAATGGAAGAGTGCTTAAATGAGCTTAAGAGAAGTTTGAAGCTATCAAATGCTTAGGGATTTCTTACAAATCTTATATTTGAAATATAGTGGGCAAATTTGGAGTTTCAGGTTTAAATGCTTAGAGCTTTCTTGGGAATGCTTCTTGGCTCTCTCCTCTATTTTCTCCCTCTAAAAAATTTGTCCCTAGAGCTTGAGGTAGTCTCTATTTATAGAGAAAAAAATGGAAAATAGGTCTGAAATTTGCCCAATCAAAGAGCATGGGCTTCAAGAGAGCCTTCTCATAAAAAGGCTAAAGATTTTCAAAGAAAAATGTGTTCAGTTAAGCTTCTCTTTTTGGTGAAATGATTTTCCTCGATTTGGTATTTATTTTCATATGTTTTGTGCCTCCAATGAGGTTTTGGGGCATGCCTTTCATTGTAGTCTCATATTTGGGGCAATCAGTAGCATGAAATGTAAATTTGACTTATTATAAATACTATTTTATCCTTTCCTACCTTCAAGTGGGGGTACCTTTGGGTTTTTAGGCTTTTTAACTCTATTAAGCTGATTTTTTTGTCCAAGTGTTTGAATAGGTCAAATATGGGGCTGACATCATCCACCACCTTTTTGAGGTCTCAAGTTGGGACAGATGAAGTAGTAATTTAATCCAGTATGTCAAAATGAAATTTTTCTAATTCAACAGTTAAACGAGTAAATTAGGTCATAAAATTTAATGTGCTAGGATTTTTGGGTCTTTGAACATAGAGGTGAGGTCCGATTAGTCAAATAAGATTAGGATGATGAAGATCCGTGGTTGCTAAGCTCTGACCAATGAGATTTACTGAAATAGATTCTATGTTCAATAGTAGGTCAAGTAAGAGAATTTTGGAATGAAATTTGGTGGGTGAATATTTTTAGACATCCTAAATTTGATGGGAGTAATGGACCTTTAATCAAATGTATGAATTGAAAGATTTAGTTCAAGTCCAGGCTTTGCTTATGGTTTATCAATCAATAAGGAAGCTTGAAATAGAATGGTGAGGTTTGAATAGAGGAGTTTCGTTGTGAAATTTGAATGGTGAAGATCAAGGATTAGTATTTTCAAATCAACTAGATTTGCTGAATTAGAATTTTGTATCAATAGTGGGTCAAAAGAGGGAATTTTGGGATGAGATTTGGTGTTAGGCATTTTTGAATGTCCCAAATATAATGAAAAAGGTAGATCTATGATCAAAGATGTGGATTGAAGGATTTGGCATAGATTAAGGTTTTAGCTTATGACTCATTAACCAATGAGTGGGTCCAAAATGGAATCTTATTTATTTTGGGAGAAATGAAGGAATTTAAGAATGAATTTGGTGGGAATTGATTTTGTTGATTTCAGACTTGGGAAATGACTTTTTGTGTGATTTAATCATACAAGTCAAATTAGAATATTTGTTGATCGAATGGCTAATCGAGAGAATTTCGAGTAGAAATTTGACGTGTGGCCATGGATTGAAGTAAGGAGTCAAGTGGATGGTCCAGATTTAATAAAGAATTTGTTGTTCTTAGTTGTTTGGCTCTATTTATTTAGGGCTGTTGAAATGAAATATTGGGTTTTTTTAGGTTGATCATTGTAGACTTGAGGTGGGATTTAGGGGTTGATCGTATCTTAACATCCTTCAGGCAATGAATGTGTTGTATTTGGATTCGTGGAGTCAAGGTTTCAACATCACATAGATTGTGACCTTTAAAAGGGAGGTTGGTGTGATGAACGATGGAACTTTAGGGTTTGGTTATGAAATTTAACGTATAATTAAGCTTTAGTTTCCTGAGTTTAGGGATCGTGTCCAATCAGATGTTTTATGTTGATCTCAATGTTCTCGTTTGTCATGTGGATTGTGTCAGAAAAAGGAATTTTTGGTTTTGGTAAGTCTTAGGCTAATCTAGTTATGTTTTCAAGTGTTAGGACCTAAAAAGATAGTACAAAGAGGTAGGGTGAAGGGATTGGGCAAAAATTGGGTGCTGACAACAATGTTAACGTTTTATTTTTTTCAACCAAATAAAAGGGCAAAACAAGGTTTTCAAAAATTTAAATGGATCAAGTGATGTCTCATGTTAACATTTCTTAATGCTCAAATTGGAAGGAGTACAAATATAAATATGTAAAATGCAAAACTTTGTATTTTTTATTATTTTGTATGCTTTTGTACTGTACATATTTGTAATTGCACTCTTTCCAAATTGAGCCTAAGGCTTTACTCATGGAGGGTATGTTTGAGTCCAAAGGGATCTCTCCACAATGCATATTTAAGTCCAATTTAAAACCTTATGGGTATGGGTATGCTTAAGTCATTTTAGGAAAACTCAGGGTAAATTTAAGTCTTTTAGTGTTAATATTGTGTGTGAAAATTATTTGTTGTTTTTCATTGAAAGTGTAGGGTGGAGTGGGCAGGAGATCCGGGGTACCCAATTATTACTTTATTAATATGTAAAGTTTGTGAGTGTTGAGCGGATCCTTTGGCCTTCTCTTTTGTTTATGTCCTCCTCTCTCCAACTATACTCTATACACTTTTGTTTATTAGTATGCAAAATTCAGTTACCTTTGAAGCTAATTATTATTTATCACTCATGCTGTTACTTTCTGACTAATAAATTTAGTTGTTTCTCAAACAAATTTCAATAGAGGATAGACAGGAAAAGCAAAGAAATAGCCCTTAAAAAATAAGATTTCTTAGGAAAAAAAAACAAACGAGAATTCATGTAGTAGATAATGGTGAGAAGGGGTTATTAAATTAGAATTTACTATTTTTTCCTATCAAAATAGGAAATTCACATTCATATTGTAAAAATCTAAACAACAAATCATACAATAGAGGAAAAACTAATTCTTAAGAATGTCTAAGCAAGGATGACAGATAAAGTTGAAGCTTTAACAATCATCGCCCATTGTTCAATGATATTGCAACATGACCCCTCAAACTGCTGTCATACTCCGCAGTGCTGCACCTTTGTAAATTTGATTGCTCACCAAGCAAATACTCTGCTTCTTCATGATTATGTTCAACCCATGGATGGTTGTCGAAACCCCTGAACCCTTCTAGCTCCCTGTCTACTTCCTTCATCGTGGGCCTTTCCTCTCCCTTCATACTTAGGCATCTGCATGCAAGCTTTGTGACTTCACAAAGTTGATCCTTGTCAGCCTCATGTAACACTCTGTCTTCCAAAATATTCAAAATATCATCTTCTTTCATCAAATTCATGAAATGTATAGCCAAATTCTTCTCTCTTTCGGGTCTGTCCAATTCAAGTGCTTTTCTTCCGGTTAATAGCTCAACAAGAACAACACCAAAACTGTAAACATCACTCTTCTCTGTCAAGTGACTTGTTTGAAAATATTCTGGGTCTAAGTACCCCAATGTCCCTTGTACTAATGTGGTAAGCTGAGTGTGGTCGAGTGGCACTAATCTTGAAGCTCCAAAATCTGACACTTTTGCTTTAAAAAAGTCATCTAAGAGAATATTGGCAGATTTAATATCTCTGTGAATAATTGGAGGAGTGACTGCAGAGTGCAAATGGGCAATTGCTTTTGCAGTTTCTGTAGCAATCCTTAAACGATTGTCCCATGAAATGGACGATTTGTGACCTTCATCATGAATATGATGGAATAAGGTCCCATTAGTAATGAATTCGTATACTAACAATGGAACTTCAGAATCTAAGCAACAACCTAAAAGCTTGACTACATTCTCATGCTCAATCTGAGAAAGAATAACCACCTCATTGATGAATTGCTCAACCTGACTTTCATCAACTATTTTGGATTTCTTAATGGCAACTATCTTATTATTTGGTAAAGTTCCTTTATATACTGTACCATAGCCACCGCGACCTAGGATCAGACTCTTGTCATAGTTATGGGTTGCTTTCTCGAGTTCCTCTTCAGTAAATTCTACATTTGCATCATGTGAAGAGAGCAGTTGCCTCAACAAGAGACCTCCATTTTGCTGAAAAAAGTTTTCTTTGCGTTTCTTTTGCCTTCTATGTTGGATTCCCCAATACAGCCAAGAGCTAACAAATAGTAGAAACAAGATGCCAAAACCAATTCCTACATGGAAAAGAGATTATTTAGTGAAAAAAGTACAATTATGAAATTTGTAAATACATTACCAAACCCACGTAAGCAAATGATAAATATTTAACAAAGAAAAACATCTATCCTTCCCTGTAATGAATCATATACATAATATACAAGAATAAACAATTAGCAGTGCTGCTCCAAAAAAAAAAAAAAATTAACTAGAAGTGCAATATATCAGGTTTACGTTGGCCTAGATTGCCCAAGGCATCAACTCGAACTCAACCACTGTTTTGAAAATCGGATTGGATCAGACGGTCGAACTGTTTGACCCAGGAATCAGTCATGTCTCTGGGTCCATTTTTGGATTGGACTGCTTTTTAAAAAAAATATGTTGAATTGATTAAAAAACCGCTAACCCTGGTCGTTGAACTGCTACACCGCTGACCCGGTCAACGGTTTGCAGATCTCACTTTTGGGTTGAGTTAGTTTGCAGATCTCACTTAAAATAAAGGATTAAGAGAGAAAAGAAATTGAGGCTAGATCTCACTTAAAATAAAGGATTAAGAGAGAAAAGAAATTGAGGCTAGATCTCGCTTTTCAGATCTGAGCTCACAGACATCTGAGAGAGAGAGAGAGAGATTGGAGGGGAAGAGAGAAATAAGATTTGAGATTTCAGAAAGAACTGAAATCAATGAACGAGATAGATCTGAAAGGGCTGGAGAGAAACGTCACCGCTGCTATTCCTACCGTCTCTTCCATCAATGTAGCCTCCTCTTACTCCTCTTCAAACTGCTTGAACCATTCGACCTAATTGGTCGAACTGCTGACCCAAAAACTGATGGTCAAAGAGGTTTAGTTTTCAGGTCGGATTTTAAAACCTTAAACTCAACATTAACCATTCAACCCAGACCAATCTGATTCTATTTTTTGGGTTGAATCGGGTTGGCCTAGCCAAGTTGCAACCCATAAATTCGAAAAGAAAATAATTCAAATAACAAATTATTAATATGTTTCTATTCAAGAAGATTCAGATGAAATGTTGAATTTGGAAAAATGAATTTGTTAAGAAGGAAATAAACTTGAATGGTCAAATATATTTCACTTGAATAAATGTTAAAGATAATAATTACGTGGACAAAATAACCACTTGAATATATTTCTATCCACCCATGTCGATGGAGGAAATTACATCCATCACTGTAACAGCTATGACCAGCTGACAGCGTTACATATTCAATTTACTCTCAAAAGTAAATTAACGAGTCATTTGTCAAGTCGTTGTAGGAAGATATTTCGAAAAGCTCAGATGGACAAAAGGTATATGGACTTATTGAGCTTTTGGAGCTTTGTCTTTGAAGACTGTTTGATAAGTATTCTTTCAGATAAGTATCCTTCATGCTTCATTTGAAGTTTCCTGATTTGGCAGCCCGAAAAATTTTCCAAAAAGACCTGCCAATATGGTTTTTTTCTTTTTTTCTTTTTGGGTAAATGTGGTTGTCGCATTTATCTGACAATCAATGAATCAATTTTCCATCTACCCGGGAGACAAACTTTAAGACAGTAAATTGTAGATTATATATTTACCTAAGAAGACTTGTATCAGCTGAGATAGATTCCTCGGAGGAGATGCACAACCACTTCCGTTTTCTCTTCCATCCCCACGAGTACCAGGCGGGCAAGAGCAGGTGTAACTCCCAGGCGTATTGGTACAAACCCCGGATGAAGAGCAGTCGTTCATAGTTGAATTCATGCATTCGTCTATGTCTGCAAACCATTTATGAAAAGAAATTTGATTAAACAATCAAAATTCTAGAAATACTCAGTAATTAGGTAAGTTTAAAATATACAAATACCTTGGCATCCGTGATCAAAATAAGGGTTGCCTTGGTAACCTTGAGAACAGTTGCAGAGATATCCCAAACCATTAGGAGAGTTAAAGCATTCGCTGTTCTTACCACATGCATAATTTGGATCACTACTGGAAGCATTTTCACAGGTGTACTTCTCTATTGCCCAATCGAGTACGGCTGGGACCATTTTTTCATTTCTATTATAGAAGCCCATGTAGCCCAAGATATCAGGTACTGAGAAGTTGAACCATTCCGAATCGACCATGAAAGCGTAGCTGCATGGATTGAAATTCGAGACGTTGGTGTGGTTGTAGAGGCTATAGAGCTCCACCACAAACATCTTGAACCCCTTTTGGATCGAAGTTTGACAACAACCCATTCCTGAGCAAGACCCGTTTCCCAAGCTCTGTTGGTCGCTGCAAACCATTGAGCATCCGGTTGTGAATCCGCGGCCGTCCCGGGTGCCGGTTATGTAGGATACAGTGTCACAACCTATTGCCGTGAATTTGTTTTTGGTGTCGGAAAAAGTGTAAGGAAGATCTACGAGACCGAAAGAAGAGCGGACCCTGTTAATACTCCTATCTTTTTCTTGATCGTAGCAATCATAAGTTACGAAGGTTTTGGTGTGCAATTGGCCTAGTGGGGATATATTTAGAATTTCGTAGTTGGTGTTTGATATAAAAGGTTTCGGAGGGGTGAAAGTGTGGTTGCAGGTTACGTCGTACCGCTTTCTGTAACAGTTTGGGTTTCCAAAGCCGAACGGGTAGGGAATGGGGATGTCGCCACATTTTTCCTCGCAGCCGGCCTTGCTAATTGGCAACGACAGAAGGAATTGGAGTAGCAGCACAGGCAATGCCATTGTTGCTAATTAGCTAGCAATCCTTGTTGTTTTGTTTGAGACTTGGAGAATGCCCATTTGCTAGCTAAACTCATTTATAGACTTCAAGAGGCAAACATTGTATGGTATCTGAGAAGAAGACTTGGTCAGTCTTCTATATCACGTATTGACTTACAAGAAGACCTGAAAGTTATTATCTCTAGTTTTCCCACGGCAAATGATGGTGCGTTAATTCACAATATCTCCCGATGAATAAAACTACACAAGGGTCGTGAGGACGGTGGGAGACTTGGAATAATAAATAACAGAGAAACAGAAACAGAGAGAGAAAAGGTATAGATGTTAATGGAATGTAGGTTCTAGTGATATGTGGATTAACCAGAACCATCTGTATTTTTACCCTTGGATAGAGGAGTTACACTTTCAGTGAAATACAAATTAAGATACAGGTAATGATAGAGGAGTTACACTTTCCGTGAAATACAAATAAAGATACCGGTAATGAACAGGGTGCATTCACATTTATACCTTTCCGACCTCTCCCAAACACCTAAAAACCCAAGGAATTCGAATCTCACCCTGAAAACCCTCAAATCTCCTCTTAAATCTATATACCCAATCCAATGGCCCCAATCAACCTCGTCTGCATATTGACCCCCAAATTAGACACTACCATCTCAAACATCCTAAAATACCTCTTCATAAAATTTTAGCTCAAGATTCCTTTGCTTACTCTCTCATCGAATAAAGATTCTATTTCAACAAATCTTATTAGCCTAAATACTCAGAACCCAGATTCCCTCAATTTGAACACATTCAAACTAATCAAACCCCACCATTAAACTCAAGGCCTCTCAAAATACCTACCCATAAAGTTTCAACCCTAGATTTCCCTCTCATCAAACAAAGATTCCATTTCGACTTTTCACGTTAGCCTAAAGCACCCATAACCCATATCCACTTGATCCAAACACATATAAATCAATCCAACTTTACCAATCACCTCAGATTACCCAAAAAACATACCCTATGAAATTGCACCCGAAACCGCCCTTGTTTGCCCCTTGATCACACCAAGATTCCATTTCAAGACTCTCGATTGAATGGATTCAAAATCCTTCTAATCCAGGCCCAGTTGGCCAATCTGACCTCACCAATCACCTCGGATTATCTAAAAACCTACCCTATGAAATTTCACCAAAATCTACCTTTATTTGCCCCTTCATCACACCAAGATTTTGTTTTGCGGTTCCAAATTAATCGCATCAAGCTCTTTCCAGATCTGCCTGATTCGGGCCCATATGACCGAATCCGACCCCACCAGTCAACTCAAAATGTCCAAAATCCTCACCCTACCAAATTTCAGTCCAAAATAACCCGTTTACCCATCCATCTCGAAAGATTCTGTTTCGACCAATCTTGTGGATCCACACACCCAAAACCCCTCTTTGTAGTTGGACCAATCTCAACCCTCCATTTTTTGGCCCAAATAAATGCAATAACTCTCAGTCGATTTCTGATCATCTGGGCACCCAACCCAATCAATATCACTGTAGGCATGTAATTGAAGAGAGGATGAAGGGGTAAACTAAATTCCCATGTCTAGAGTACCCTTGAGATATTGAAAATCCTTTTAACAGCTGCTCAATGCGTGTCAATAGGTGTATGAAGAAACTATCACACCTTGTTAATAAAGTATGCAATATCAGGCCTTGTAATGGTTACATATTGTAAGGTCTCACGATGCTCCGATATTCCATAAAATCTAGCAATGTGCTTTCTATCACCTTAGAAAGCTTGCAAGAGGATGGCATGGGTGAGGCAATTGGTTTGATACCTTCCAAATGAACATGCTAAAGTAGATCAACAATATACTGGCATTGAGATAAGAATAAACCATGAGAAGTATAGGAAGCTTCAATGCCTAAAAAGTAGTGAAGTCGGCCAAGATCCTTTAAGGCAAATGAGAAAGAGGCAATCACTTGTGCAACAGTAGAGGGAGAAGATTACGTAACCAAAATGTCATCAACATAAACTACTATAGAAATAGAGAGCTTGTTCTTATGATAGATGAAGAGTGAGGGATTAGCTTAGGAGCATCTAAAGCCAAGTGCAGCGAGATAGCTATTAAGATGTGAAAACCGGGGCCGTGCAGCTTGCTGAAGGCCATAAAGAGCCTTCTGCAACTTATAAACATGAGTGGGCCATGTTCGGTCCTCAAGTCCTTTAGGTTGTTGAACGAAAATATTTTCTTCCACTCTTCCGTTTAAGAATGCATTGTTTATATCCAAATAACATACTTCCCATCCATGTGAAATTGCAAGTGCCAAAACAATACGCATTGTAACTGGTTTTACAATCAGATTGAAAGTATTAGAAAAGTCTACACCCAAAACTTGGGTAAATCCTTGAGCAACAAGGCGAACTTTGTAGTGCTAAACAGAGCCATCACTCTCCCTCTTTATTTTATAGATCCACTTGGTTCCTATTACACTCATGCTTGGATGATTGGTACCAAATGCCATGTATGATTGCTCAACAATGCATCATATTCTTGTTTCATAGCATGGAACTAGTTGTGATCCTTAGCAGCCTTTGAATACGTAGATAGTTCAATTTGAGAAGGAATGATGTATGCAACTAAAGCTTCAGGAAGAGGATGTCAAGAGGAAACTTTAGCAAGGAGATGCTGTAGAACTCATGGACCTGATAATCATTGTGTGAGTTCATCCATGCTGAGGTGTTGGTACAACTAGAGTAGAAGCCAAGAACTCCCGGATTGCTCGAGTGTGAAGGGGTGGAGTAAGAGAAGATGAGACAATCATAGAAGCATCTGATGCTGATGTGGATGAGTCAATTGGTTCAAGTTGTATGATAGAGGAGGTTGTATCAATTGGAGAAATCGGTGAAGAGCAATCAATCCTTGGTTCAAGAGGAGTGGAAGACAATGTAGATGAGAGATGTGACAGTCTAGAAGCACAACGCACATGTAAAGGAGCAGATATACATCCTGTAGAAGAACACTCATCATTAGTAATAGTAGTAGAAGTAGTAGGGTCCGAAATACCAGGAAAGCATTCCTCATCAAAAACTATGTGACGACAGATACATTCCTATCCACTAGCCACATGACAACACAGGTAACCTTTGTGCGCTCAAATGTAACCAATAAAGATGCATTACGGAGAACAAAATTAATGCAAATTTATGATGATTGTAGGGTCACAAGAGAGGAGCATGCACAACTAAAGATTTGAATGAAACAAATTTTCATATAGAGAGCAACCCTGGAGTGTTTGAATGACACTCTATTAATTAGATACACGACAATTTTAGCTGCATCAACCCAAAAGGATAGGAGAGACGAGGAAGCCACTAGAGAGAGCATTGATTCTATGGCGTGTAGATGTTTACTTTCAATGACACAAAATGTTCATGTGTATGTGGACAGGATAATCTATGGAGAATTTCTTGTGAGTCCAAAAATTGATATAATTTCTAATACTCTCATCCCTAGTTGGATTGGAAACTCTTGACCTTAGTTGAGAATAACAATTCTATATGACTTTTAAAACAAACAAAAATATCCATAACTTGATATTTCTTAGCAATAGGAAATAGCTACGAGAATTTGGAAAAATCATCCATAAAGAATACATAATAATGAAATCCTTTATTAGAATAAACTGGGGTTGATCCCCAAACATTTGAATAAACCAAATCTAATGGACCCTTAGAATAGTAAGTAGAAACTAACAAATGTTGTTTATGACTTTTGCCCATTTGACAAGACAAACAAACAGATTGACTAATTTTACCCATATATAACAAACCATACTTAGAAATGACCTGACAAACAACTTTGAAGGCCACATGTCCCAATCATTGGTGCCATCCCAAAAAGGTCGTATATTCTCCAACAAGTATTGCAGCTTTATTCTTGACTTAAGTAGTACTAGGAAACTGATATAACCCATCTCTACCAGTTCCTCAAAGTAGAACTCTCCCCGTATAATCCTTTAAAAGAAAATAGTCACGACGAAACTCAAAGAAGAGATCATTATCCTTTGTGAATTGACTCATTGATAACAAGTTCTTTGTAATATGTGGCACATGATATATATTATGCAATGCAAATTTATGATGAGTATACTAAAGAGAAGATGGTCCAGTATTCAAAATGCTCAAACCTGTTCCGTTACCATCGGTTACTTAATCAGGACCTGAATACTTAGACCTATTCTGAAAATTTCCAAGTCTAGAGTGAGGTGATGAGTGGCACCTCAATCCGGGTACCAAGTGGAATTGAATTCAGAACTCATTCCAGTGTGATATGTACCTAGCTCAGTAGAACTCTGTTGTTGTTCCCCTTGATATGCAATGTCATAATACCTTCTATAGTTTAATGTGCCATGACCTGGCTTGTTGTAAACCTAACAAACAATGGCGGGTGTACCACCTCTGCCTCGACCGCCTTCATTGCCTCTGCCACCAATTGTGTTGGGAGGATTTGGATAACCATTACGATCTCTACCACCATGACCACAACCATGTGTTTGAGGAAAACCACCACAATCATTAAATGGTTTTTGATTCCATGAGTTCTTTGATCTGTTATTATTGAAATTTGCTACAAGATTTATTAATGGACTATTTTTAGAAATGGGTTAGTTGTGTTGCTCCAACCATGCTTTATGATTCAATAGTAATCCAAGTATATCATTGATATTTAAAGTATCAAAATCAGGATTTTAGTAATAACAGTAATGATGGATTCATATTCAAGTCCTAGTCCAAAGATAATACAAAGATTAAGATTGTCTTTAGAGACTAGCTCAAATATAGCAACCAAATTATCAATTGTAGCTTTTGTATTTTTTACATATTCTAAGATAGATTGAGATCCTTTCTTAATATATTATAATTGCCTTTTGAGTTGTAACATTTGTGAACAAGAAATAATAGAATAACTTGCTGCTAAAGCTTGCCATACCTCTATTGCTAAAGTCAAACCAATCACC